GTCTTGCTTTGTCACCCTGGGTAGAGTGCCGAGACATCATCATAGCTCACAATAACCTCCAACAACCTCCAACTCTTGGGCTCAAGTGATCCTCCCGCCTCCTCAGCCTCCTGAGTAGCTGGGACTCCAGGCGCCGGCCACAACGCCTGCCTGCCTAGTTATTCCTATTTTCAGTACAGATGGGGTTTCCCTCTTGGTCAGGCTGGTCTCCAGCTCCTGAGCTCAGGTGATCCAACGGCCTTAGCTTCCCAGAATGCTAGGATCACAGGCGTGAAGCCCCACACCTGGCTTCTCATTTCTTTTATATTAGAAGTGATTTGTTTTGTCAGGGTCCATTTGTGCTAAAAAACAGAAGTGATTTATTATGCAAATAATTTAAGAATCACAATATTGTTTTAAAATGATGTAGGAAACTTCATAATTTTAAAGCAATGTTACAGAATTCCTGTAAGAAAATTGCTGCTCCCAGCAGTCGGGTGTTGAATGCTAGTGCTGCGTGGAGAGTGCTCTAGAGGATGTCGCAGGAGGGGGATAAACCCCAGGGGCCACAGTGCTTGGGTGTCACCGTCACTTGGCTGTTTGTAGCTCTTTGCTGACAACTGTTTGTGTACATGTCACCAGGAAAGTCACCTGTAGAAATCTAAATTGCTGTGGCTTACATTTTGGTCTCAAAGCCATGTAGGACCCTCCCCTCTGTTTTTCTTTGTACTTAGTAGTGTGTTGTGAGTGTCTGTGTCGTTCTGAGTAAGGTAAATAATGATCTTAGAAGTGATTCATCTAACCACAGTGTTCAAAACTCCATTCAAGTCTCAAAATCACCTCTGGGTTCCAACTCTCATGGGTACAGGTGGATTTAGTTCTTGGAGAGTTGTGTGGAGTACATAAAAACCGAACCATCAACCCTGCTGTGGACCACTGTTGTAGAACAAACTTTGCCTTCAGAAGATACTGCTTTGAGGGTCTGGAAGTCGATAAAACATATGTGCCTCCTCCTACTTCTAAAGATTTATTTACATTTCCTGCCGACTTGTGTCAAGCTGGGAATGAGGAGCTTCAGAGAAGGAAAGACAGGTGAACATTCTTTCATTTCTCTTTTTCCTTAGCTGAAGACGCCCACGTGTGAGTGAGGTTCACTGTAACAGACGTGTGCTTTTGGTATCACAATCCTGTTCCTTCCACCAAACTGCCCTGAACATCAGGGCAAGTTAATTGCCATTATTTATAAATAAAAGCCTGGTTTGTCTTTTCCTTTGAAAGAGACTTGGAGAGTCCAGTGGAGTATGATCTGGAAAGGTGAGTTAGGGTATCCGGAAAAAACGGCTCCTAGGCAGGTTCACAATGGCTTGAATTTTCTGAGAGAATGCTCTGAGAATCTCACCCAGTGTTTGAAAAAAGGGGAGGCCCAAAGGGATAAGAGTTTTACTTCCCTTTTCTCAGGCTATGCTTTAAATGCTAAGGAATAAGACCCGTTTTTTTGGGATTTAGGCAGCATCTGTATGAAGTGTAGTGGAAACAGCATTTAGCTATTAAAGAAGGATTGAAGGTTGTAGACAAGACTTTTCAAGAAAGATTAAATGTAGACATGTGTCTACAATCTTGTGTATGAGAAAGGTCTGCCCCATGTTCTCATTTTTACAGGATGTAAATTCTCACTCTTATTACGTGCAAGACTCATAGTGTAGTGAACTTTCATGTTTTCTAGCCTGTCCCACTCTAGTGTGCTCTGTTTTATTTAACTATTCTGTTTTCATTTTATAAATGAAAGTGAGGAGATGTAAAATGTTGTTAATCCTTAAATGTGGAGGATGGGCCTTCAGGGCTTGTTATTCTTTCTACTGTTATGCATGAAATATTTTTATTACTTTGAAAAATTACTCTAAGAATATACTTTTGAGACCACCGATGGTAGCAACCTGCAGTTTGAAAAACATTGGAATTCTAGAGATGACTGGAAATCAAGGAAGTGAGTAATATCTGTGGCAGTTGTCACACTTAGTTGTAACAGCTTCTTTCTTGAATTGCTTCTTTTGTATCTTTTTTCTTGATATATAGTGTTTGTATGGATTTTTCGGCACATGTGATATTTTGATACCTGTGTAATGGTCAAGACAGGGTCATTGGATATTTGTCACCTCAAACATTTATCTTTTCTTTATCTTGGGAACATTCAATTCTTCTCTAGCTATTTTGAAATCTACAATAAATTGTTATTAGCGATACTTTTTCTACTGAACTGTTTGAACACCAGAACTCACTCCTATTTACCTGATTTTTGTACGCTTTATCCAACTTCTCCTATCACACTTTTTTATCATTTTGTCTTTCATTATATAACCCTCCAAAGCATGTTTCTGTGGGATCAATTCTGTAAGTTTAACAAGAAAGTTTATTCAAAAGTGGAATATCTTATTAGCTTTCACAGTCACCCAAGTTGAGACTTCAAGGCATGTGATTCTGTGAGGAGCATTTTGGGAAGAGGTGCTGCAGGAAGCCTGCTTAATTCTCTTGGACACCTTTGGCTGCAGGTTTCTTGTCAACCTGGTGAAGCGAAGGCGGGAACTCACAGCTGAGCAGCTGCAGACTCTGTTCACAAGAGTCACTAAGGCGGTGGAGAAGTGCTGCGAGGCAGAGGCCCCCGAGGCCTGCTTTAAGGAAGAGGTAGTTATGTTTCCTTTCTCCTGACATTCAGCTGGTATTCCTGGTCAGATAAAATAAAACTGACCCCTGTGGGAATCTGCTTCCTCTCTGCAATGGCTGCGAGGTCTGGTTTGAGCGTACGTACAGTTGCCACACAGCCAGTATGCAGAGGTCCCTCTGATACAGGCCGCAGGCTCTGTCTTTTTGTTTAAGAAAAGCCAGTTGGAGCTCTGGATGCTGATCCTGAGGTCTTGATCATGTAACCGAAAGCAAAGTCCTTCAAGGGGTGGCTGTCCCAACGTCCCTCAGCTGAGAATCCGTGCGGGACACATAAGGGTGAGGGTAGGAGGAGAAGAGGGGAGAGACGTTCTCAGCGTCTCTGCGGTGGTGGAGTCTGCGTCCATTCCCCGCAGCAGTGGTGCCCCAGCTGCCTGGGAACATCAACCTGGATGGATGGCTCCATGGAAGTGCCGGCTCATTCCTGCTGGACTTTTTTTTTTCGTTATTTCTTTCCTGGAAACACCCGCTCCACTCCCAAACTCAACACTGCACTCACGCCCAGTGGCGCACACAGGCATGCCTCTCATTCTGGTTGAGAGCCTTCTAATTTTCTGAGTGAGTGCTTAGTATGCAGGAAATGGTTTTGGTACGCTTTAGTTTTTAAAAATAAGGTAATTAATTTTAGTTAGACACTATTAATATCTAGCATTTATCTGAGTATGCCCATTAGAGCCGTGTAAAGGGAGGGTTGAATTTATTGGAAGTTTGTAGGAGGCCTTGGATGTCTATTTCAAGTTCGCTTGCAGAAAGAGTGTTCATTGTCTCTCTATACAATATAGGAGGGGTTTGCGTTTTCTTTCCAAAATTCAGGGCAACATGCTTCTCTAAATTTAAATGGTAGCAGCAAATTTGTCTCTCTCTTTTTTTTTCTCCTTTCAGAGTCCTGTCATTGACGGCTGAAGCCAGGCTGCTTGAGAAACAAAGTAAAATGCATCAAAGGTCCTTCATTCTCAAACAAATGTCGGGAGCATTTTCATCTCATTTTGTCTCTGTGGCTTCCTCAGGCTTTACTGGTCCACCCCGTGTGCTCTGCAGCTGACAGAGCCCGTCCTGGTCTGTGCTGCTCTCTGGGCGTCAGGCCTTGCCGTGCACGGTGGCTCTGCTGTGTCCACGCCCCACTTCTCCTACTACTCAAGCAGCTTTCGGAGCAGCCTCTGCCTTTCTGCTATTGTGTTCAGCTGTCTGTACCAAGAGAGTGGAATCTTTGAAGCTGATAGAAATAAGGGGGTACTTGCTCAAGGTTTGGGGTAGGCAGACAGTCTCAGTACCCTGGTTCCAAGACTCAAAAAAATCTCTCTGAGATATGACTGGCACAATTTTACGCAAACAAAAAGCAATATGTTTGTGATTTCAAAAAGATGTATAAGAGATGCCTTCTGTTTATGTAACATAAACTTTAGGAAGAAAATGTTGCATAGATATAGCAGTGAAATTCAGTGTTGGGGAAGAGAGGCCTGGACCTCGACAGAGGGTGGGTGTTGGTCCACAAAAGGCAAAACAGTGAATAATGCCAGTTATTTTAAATATATGACTATCACCCAAGCTACAGCCTTTTATAGCCTTTTAATGCATAAACTGTTATTTTTTCTTTTTAGCAATGACCAACTTCTGGGCTTCCTAACTGTCCTGTGGTGAATTTCATTTCTTGAGAACAAAGTGAAAGGATGCTGCTGTGGTCTCGCCCGGAATCACAAGCAATGATTGTGATTGTTGTCATAGCAAGCAATAAACACCAAGTGGTAAAGCCGTTTCTCAGGCTAATGCTGTGCGTCCACAGAATTAAGCAGCCCTGACCCTTCATTCTGTCAGCTCTTCCTGCTCGCTGCCTGGTTCCCCTGTGGAGGTCGGAACTCTGCACTGCAACTGGGAGGGTCCAGCCCTTAGATCCCCGTCCTGCTGCCCCCGGGAGGAGACGGGAACTGAGGGTGCAGGATCACTGCTGCAACTGCTGCTGCCCCAGCAGCTGGCGGTTCCCTGTTCCCAATGTACCAAACCTTGTTCCAGGTACTTTTTGTTAGATAATTGCCTCAGAAAGCCCCTTCCTGCTCTTAAAGTTACAACTCCTTACCAAGCACAGAGAATGGCCCGCTTACCTCATCACCCTGTTCCAATTACCCGCTGCCTGCCCCTAACAGCTCTTTCTGCAGGAGCAGTAACTCCTTATTGGTTATCCCACCAGCCCGTCACCATTCTGAGACTTCCCTGTGCAAGGGTATGTTTCTCTTCTCTCTCTCTTCCTCCTCCCTCTCCCCCTTATCTTCTACTCTCCCTCTCTCTCTTCTTCTCTTTCCTCCTCTCTCTTCTTCTCTTTCCTCCTCTCTCTCCTCCTCTCTCCTCTCCTCTCTTTCTCTTTTCTCTCCCCTTTCTCTTCTCTCTCCCCTTTCTCTTCTCTTTTTCTCTCCTCCTTGGTGCTGCTCTGCAGCCTCCCTCCCCCACCAATAAAGAGCTTTGGTACAAGCCTTGGTGGTTTGTGAGATCTCTGCCAGTCGAGTGCCTCCCTAACTCACTTTTATTGCATTATTTCATTTAATCCTAAAAAGTCTATAAGTAGTGAGATAGAATACCTGGGAAAGGTAAGGTCCGGGAGAACAGAGGTCTTCTCAAGGAGACCCCCAGCATACACCTGCAGGATCCTCTCCATGGTGACTCGGCTCTTAGAAATTTGTACACTTAACTTTCTGGGACCTGGAAATTTCCACGTCTGTACAATCCTGTAGTTCTGTGAGGGCTGGAATAACTTCTCCTGCTTAATTCAAACTGACTAATGAGAAATGTTAGAACTTTTTGACTGGAGATAAAAAGGGAAAGACCAAGCCAGATGGGAAGTACTGCCATTTCCAATTCTTCTATGCCACGTGCTCCGCCAGCTGAAATAAGGCCCTTCCTTTTATACACACAGTGCTTGGGTGCTCTTTCTATCCATTGGGGCTTGTCTTCTGGCAACAGTAAGTGTCATTTTTATTTCCATTTTATAATCAGGGAGCCTAAGACTTGGGAAGATCATCTGTGCAATGCAATGTAATTGATGATTAGTGGAAGCAAGGTTTGAATCTGGGGCCTCTGATTCTGGGATGGAGTCACAGGTACAGCCAGGGGTATGCCTGATAATGTTGGGTCCGAGAAATCCTCCCAACTTAGCCCAAACGGACAGACTTGAGACATACTCCGATGTAAAGGGCATAAGGTGAGATTTTATTACAGACC